TGATTAGGGCAAAAGAAACAATTGAAGAGTACTTCAAGTGGAATTTAAATAAAGGGACAGCTTTAGAAACGGTTTGGGACGCAGGGAAAGCCGTCATGAGGGGCTTTCTAATCCAGAAAAACAGCCATAAAAGAAAAGAAAAAGAGAAAAAGAAGGAGATTTTAGTACAGTTAATGGAGAATGAAAGACAATTAACTATCAAGCCAGGTGATGAGACTATAAAACAAAATATAAAGTTATTACAAGCCCAATTTTCTATGATAGTAAACCAGGAGATTGAGTGGAAAGTTAAAATGTTGAAACAGAAGAGTTTTGAATCTGCTAATAAAATAGGGAAATATTTGGCCTGGCAACTAAGAGAAAGGAAAAAACAAAATATGATCTGTAGGATAAGGGATGGAGACAAGATAGTGGAAGACCCAAATGAAATAAAAAGGTTGTTTCAGAAATACTATAAGGATTTATATAAAAGAGGTAAGGAGACAGGCTATGATATAGAACGCTATCTGAAAGAACATCATTTACAACAGATATCAACCAAAGAAAAAGAATTACTAAATCAGCTGATTACAGAGGAGGAGGTAAGGAAGGCAATATCAAAGATGAAAATTGGTAAAGCGCCGGGGCCAGATGGTCTGTCAGCCAAATATTATAAAGTATTAAGTGATCAAATAAGCCCAATCCTATGTGAAGTGATGAATAATATTTTAAAAGAAGGAAAGACCCCGAACACCTGGAAGGAAGCCTATATTACATTAATTCCTAAAAAAGATGTGGATGCCTTAGAGGTGAAAAACTATAGGCCGATTTCGTTATTAAATAACGACTATAAACTGTTTGCGGATGTAATGGCAGAAAGATTTAAAAAAGTATTAAATAACAGAATCCATAAAGATCAAACAGGCTTCCTTCCAGGGAGACAATTGAAGGACAACGTAAGAAATGTGATAGATATCATTGAATATTTGGAAACCAGAATAGACAAGCAAGCCGCTTTGATTTTCATTGATGCCGAAAAGGCCTTCGATAACGTTTCTTGGTGCTTCCTGACAGAAAATCTAAAAATGATGGGGCTGGGTGAAAGATTTAGAAAAGGTATAGAAGCTATCTATAATGAACAAAAAGCTAAGCTAATAATAAATAACTCGACATCAGAATTTTTTGACATATCTAAAGGGACTAGACAAGGCTGCCCCCTGTCTCCTCTGTTATTTATAACAGTACTTGAAGTACTTACTAAGAGACTGAGAGAGGCAGCGGAAGTGAAAGGGATTAAGGTAGGGACTAAAGAACATAAGATAAAAGCCTTCGCGGATGATATTGTATTAACTCTAGAAGACCCGAAAAATAGTATGAAAGAAGCCTTGCAAAAATTTGAAGAGTTTGGAGCGGTGTCAGGCCTCAAGATTAATAAAAATAAGACTAAAATGTTGACTAAAAATTTAACTAAGGAAGATATTCTAGAACTAGAACAAAAGACGGGAATTATGACAGCAAAGAAAGTGAAATACCTTGGAGTGTGGATATCAACGAAAAATATTAACCTATATAAGGATAATTATGAAGTCACTTGGAAGAATATTAAGAAAGATCTTGAAATCTGGGAGAGATTGAGGTTATCTTTTCTGGGGAGGATAGCGGTTATCAAAATGAATGTTCTCCCCAGAATGTTATTTTTGTTCCAAACCATTCCGGTATTAAAAGGTCTAAAGCAGTGTAAAGAGTGGCAAAGAGCCTTAGCGAGATACATCTGGCAAGGCAAAAGACCACGAATAAAAATGAAAATATTGGTGGACAAAAAAGAAAGAGGGGGATTCTCTCTACCGGATCTAAGTTTATATTATGAAGCGGCGTGTTTATTGTGGCTGAAGGATTGGATAAGATTGGAAAATAGGGACATCTTGGACTTGGAAGGTTTCGATAACAGGTACGGGTGGCACTCGTACCTGTGGTACGAAAAGGTGAAAGTTCATAGAGGCTTTCTAAATCATATCTTTAGGGGACCATTATTCCAAGTATGGGAAAGAAATAAAAATATATTGGAAAGGAAGACACCTTGGTGGATTTCACCAATAGAGGTGTTAACTATAAAAAAAATAAACATGGAAGGGAAGAATGCCACCTATGAAGAACTAACTTGGAAGACAGAGCAAGGGATTAAACTTAGACCATATGAAGAGATCAAAAATCTATTTACAGGGTGGTTGCAATACCACCAAGTAAATGACTTGCTAAAAGAAGACAAAAAGAAAGTAGGATTTGAAGATAAAAAATCTAAATTTAATGTAGAAGTTATAGAAGGTAAGAACAAAACACTGTCAAGGATGTATGATATTTTGCTGGAGTGGTATACAAAAGATGAGGAGGTGAAGGAGGCCATGATTAAGTGGGCGATAGACATTGGATATAACATCGACTTTGAGAGGTGGTTGGAACTATGGAACAAGAATATGAGATTTACGGCATGCACGGCACTAAAGGAAAACCTGTGGAAAATGATCTACAGGTGGTATCACACACCAGTGAAATTAGCGAAGATTTATAAGTTGAAGGAAAAAAGATGCTGGAAATGTAGAGAGGTAGAAGGTGACCTCTACCATATGTGGTGGTCGTGTTGCAAAGTGAGAGGCTTTTGGGAATTGGTTTATAATGAACTTAAAAAAATCTTGAAATATACATTTCCCAAAAAGCCAGAAGCTTTTTTGTTAGGAATGGTTGGTAAAGAAATTAAAAAAGAAGACAAGATCTTGTTTCTATATGCTACGACAGCTGCAAGGATTATGTTAGCACAAAATTGGAAATTAGAAGTAATACCCAACATAAGTGATTGGCAGGTTAAAATGATAAATTATGCTGAGCTTGATAGAATATCAGGAAGATTAAGGGACCAAGACGAACAGAAATTTCATGATAATTGGAAGAAATATTTAATGTATATGGAATCTAAATCTCAGGTGACACTGGCGGGGTTGAAATAACTCTAACAGCGGGAAAGGCCTATGTGAAAGAGTTAAAAAGTACGCGACAATATAACTTATTTGATACTTACCAAAGGAGTGGAGGGAAGTCCAAGGTTCAGTTGAGACTAACTTAGTTATGTATCTTATTTATGATTTGTGAAGTGGATATAATTTGTATAAGGTATGTGGTGGATTTTTTTGTTTATGTTTTCCTTGTAAATATGTGCAAATATGAATAAAAATTTATTTAACAAAAAAAAAATGAAAAGGCAACACGGATGTCCTTATTGAAGGATGCTTGGGAGAATTCCAAATAATAATAATAATAATAATAATAATAATAATAATAATAATAATAATAATAATAATTTATTATTTATACCCCACCCATCTGGCTGGGTTTCCCCAGCCACTCTGGGCAGCTTCCAACAGAATATTAAAATACAAAACCTATTAAACATTAAAAGCTTCCCTAAACAAGGCTGCCTTCAGATGTCTTCTAAAAGTCTGGTAGTTGTTTATCTCTTTGACATCTGATGGGTGTTCCACAGGGTGGGTGCCACTACCAAGAAGGCCCTCTGCCTGGTTCCCTGTAACTTGGCTTCTCGCAGTGAGGGAACCACCAGAAGGCCCTCGGCGCTGGACCTCAGTGTCCGGGCAGAACGATGGGGGTTGAGACGCTCCTTCAGGTATACTGGACCAAGGCCGTTTAGGGCTTTAAAGGTCAACACCCACACTTTGAATTGTGCTTAGAAATGTACTGGGAGCCAGTGTAGGTCTTTTAAGACCTACTCTCTAGGAAGACCTACACTCTAGGAAGCCTACTCCTCCAAATTTGCTTTAAGTACAATGGCTGGGGGCTACAAGGAGGTGTATCTCTCCAGAGTCACCTGTTCTGATTATCGAAGGTGTCAGGTTCCACCAACATCTCCATCACCAATTAAAAAGAAAAACAAGTCAGCTGGCCAGAAAAGACTAAGGCGTCAGATCTTGGACAACAGCTACCAGTCTTAGGACAATGGTGGCAAGACCAATCAGTGGCCTTAGCTGCCGCTGAAAGGCAACTTCGTATGTTCATATATGTTATTGCGTTTGACAGAAAGTGATTGTAAAGTTTGTTTCTTAGTACTTTTGTGATTATCATGAGCCGCTTTGAGCTCTACATTTTTTGTTGGAAAAGTAGAACAGAATATTAAATAAAATCTAACTAGGTTTGAGGGGAAGAGGGATTTAAATAAGGTATGTACTTGCATTGGGACAGGTGTGTTCTGACAGCAGGACCTTTTTAGTGGTTGGCCCTATATTTATGGAAGGTCCTCTGCCAGGAAGTATTGTCCCCCATCACCGGCAACTTTTAAAAGAACGCTAAAGACATCCTCATTTCAATCTCCTTTTGATTATGTCTTTAATGACGTTTTGTTCCTCAACTGAAGGGGAATGATGTAGATTTTAATTTATATTTTTTAATGCATATTTATTTTGCACAATGCCTTGGGAGGGCAATTCCACTGAAAGGCGGCTTGTGAATTAGCAATAAAATAAACACTTTCCCTTGTGTAAAAAAACACCCGAGATTTGAAAGCCCAAAGGAGATCAGCAACTTCTGACCATCATTTTTATTAAGGCTTATTATTTCCCCCCGCTGCTATAGCCACCCCTCCTCTCCAGTTGCACAAGAGAAATCAAGAGTGACAATAGATGTGTGTGCGCTTGCGTTTGAGTGTAAACACGCTGACTTTTTATACAGATTGCACAACTAATGAAAATGGCCACTGTCACCGTTCAAGCATCTCATATGGAGAGTTACTTGGTTTTCGGAAGCAGCAACCTACGGTTTCTGCAAGTTTCCCCACACCGCCCCCCCCCCCAGGTCGGATGTCAAATTAAGTGGCAGGCGCCACATCAGGTAGGCTTTCCTTAACCACCTACTTTCCTTTCTATAACCAAAAAAGCGCTATCGACCAGAAGACAGGGGAAATGAGGAACAAGAAGCCGCAGAGGCCTGACCCCCCTGGAAAGTAGCAAAATAACGGAGCACAGTTAGATGGACACACCACTTTATATACAAATGACCTTTTTAAATTAGAGAAGCATATGGCTTTATTATCCTTTGATCGCTTTAGCTCTGGCACAAGGCGCAACGCTGTAGCTGCATCAAGATTCTCTCCAAAGGCAGCAAGTCCTCTTCAGAACCTTGCAGTTTCCTTTTGCAAGGTCTCCCATCCTGGCACGACTCAAAGGAGATGGGGGGGAAGCGTGTGGAACAGCCACGGGTCTCCTCTGCTCCTTGCCCCCCCCCCACAAACAGCTCACTTTTGTTTTGTTTTTTGTTGGATCATCCAAATTCCAGAGAAAGCGTCGTGAGAACGGTGTCAGAAGTGGACCCTCAGGATGTCGTGTGTGGCAACCAGCCTCTTGCAACTCATGCACAGTATCGATAAGGACTTCTGCTTCTCGGCCAAGCAAGAGCGGCACACCAGGTGGCCGCAAGGGAGCTGGTAAACGGGCTCTGTTTTGAAGTACACGGAGAAGGTCCGGGAGCAGGAAGAGCACCCTTGGGCCGAGTCACTCCTACTGTGCTCTGCAAAAAAACAAAGGAGGAAGAAGCACACGTTAGTGCCCTTGGGGTCTCCCGGTCAGCGATACAAACCCAAATAATGGGAATTCCCCCTCACTGTTGGAAAAACGCCCTGGGGGTGAGCATGCAAGCCCCTGGAACTCCGAGCATCCTCCAGAATGCGCAGCTCTGGAGAAAGCATTCTCCCCTCATCTCCAGTGTGCTCAACAACATAAACCACCTGGTATTATGCACACTAATCTTCTAGCTTACACAGCAAGAAGCTTGAAGATTCGTAGAGCTAATCTACTATTTATTTACACACTATGCACAGACAAAGGCATAATGGCGTCTGTTCTCTCCAGCTCTGAGAGAACAAACAGGACAAGTAAAAGTGAAAGTACATTACAGTGGAAGCTCGGGTTGTGAACGTGATCCGTGCGGGATGCACGTTCGTAACCCGCAGTGGCGCGTCTGCGCACACACGGGTTGCGATTCGGCGCTTCTGCGCAAAGCGCGATTTAGCACTTTTGTGCATGCGCAACCGCCGAAACCCGGAAGTAACCCGTTCCGGTACTTCCGGGTTTCTGCGGGTGCGTAACCTGAAAAAACACAACCTGAAGCGGCTGTAGCCTGAAGTATGACTGTACAGCGGGAGAAATAAGACTGTCTTCCGTTTCTCACGCTCTTGACAGGCATGTGATTTATAACAATCCCATCTGCAGCATTGTACTGCATGAAATACTAACATTCACTGCAAACACCACCAAGTAGAAGCCTAAGCACCTTTTGCAAGACCCAGCCTTTGGAACTCTGGTCAACGTGAGTCGGGAAAGGGTGGGGAAGTCTGATGGAATATTATGAATTATTGTTACTGCATTTATATTCCCCCTTTTACTCCGGGGAGCTCAAAGATGGCATACATAGTCATCCCCCCCCTTCTCACTCCATCCCAACCAACAACCCTGTGAGGTAGGTTAGGCTGAGGGGCAGTGGCAGGCCCAAGGCGACCCAGCAAACTTCAGCACAGAGTGGGGATTCGAACCCGGGTCTCTCCCAGGTTCCTAGTCTGACACTCTAAACGCTACACCATCAGTCTGTTTTTCAATCTATTTTGCTATTGTCACCAGCCTCTGGGATGGAGGAAACTATCATCTCTGAATATAGCCTGACTCTCCTGAGACATGCACTCAGAACATAGGACCTGTATTTATCAAGGAGAATGTCAACATGCATATTAGATAATAAAACAACTCAGAGGATGGATTGTTTCCCTGCCCTCCGAACCAAGGAGCACCTCCGGGGTCACTGTTTTCTGGTGACCTTCTTCTAAACATATAAACATTACTTAAAGTCCCGCCCATTTGACCGCAAGTGCTCAGCAAATCTACACAAGTGAATAAGCCAAATCTGCTGTTTTTTAAGGCATGCTCATCTTGCAGAGCACACATATCCTGGAAGGATGAGGTCCAGGGCTTCCTCTAACGGCTCTCCGATGCAGCTTCTCTTGGCAGAAGAAACACCACAACGCTGTGGAATTCACGGCCACAAGATGTGGCTGCGGCCACAATCTTGAGAAGTTTCGCCCCTTCTCTCATAATACTAGAAGTCAAGAACATGCCGTGCAGCAGAAGGTTGGACTGTTCAGGACAGGCAAAAGGAAGTTCTTCTTCCTGCAGTGCGTGGTTAAGCTCACACCCACAAGAATGATGGCCACCAACCTAGATGGCTTTAAATGATTAGACAAATTCATGAAGGGCTACCAATGGCTACTAGCCAGGATGGCTATAACCTGCCTCCAAGGCTGGAGGCAGCCATGCTTCTGAATATCAGCTGCTGGAAACTACAGGAGGCAAGAGGGCTGCTCTTGTGCTCGAATCCTGCACAAGCAAGGTTCCCACAAGCAACCTTGAAGACCAGATGCTGGACTAGGGGTGCCACTGGCCTGATCCAGGAGGCTCTCCTTGCCTTCTTATGTGTGATGGCCTGGGACTCGGGCTCAGACTCGGAACTGGAGGAGTCTCAGTCTGCACTGGATCCTTTGCCTCAGGCATCATCTGAACCAAGTCTGGGGCCTGATTCTGAAGAGCCCCAGTCTGCACAGGTTCCCCTGCAACAAGCACCAGCTGGGCCGAGTCAGGGGCCTGAGCCTGCCCTGGCTCCAGATGCAGGGATGACCTCATTGCCTCCAGCTGGGCCGTCACTTACAGCAGCTCCACTACCGGTTGGGTCAGGGGAGGCTGAGGCGGCCTCTGGGTCTAGTAACCCACAGAAGTCTCCCGAGCTGCAGAGACTGAGGTCTGAGAGAAGGAGAGACCTGAGTATTCGCAGGAGGAGTGCTCGCCTTCAGGTGAGACAGGGAGGTGAGTCGCCTGGGGATCAGGACCGGCTGTTACCCCGTCAGAGATAAAAGGCTGCCGGACCCCGCCCCAGGTTGCGGGAGCAACATTGCTGCTTGCTGGAACTTGCCTGTTACCCTGTGCCTGACCTAGCCTGGTTTCCTGCCTTGGCCCTGTTGGACTGACTCCTAGTGGAATCCTTGGATTCGGGACCGGACCTGGAAAGCGTTGCTTGGGTTAACCCCCGGGCCCAGCACAGTATGAGGAGATCACTTTCAGGCAGCATTTGAAGTTAGACCTGGGGCTGCAGGTTGCCCACCTGTGCAATCTACGTCTTGCTAGGCTGCTGGGCAGCCGAGGGCTCTTCCTCACGCAGCAAGCATTAGGAGCGCTTTGCAAACTTTGCCTCCCACCACCCCCTTTCCGAAAGAGGAAGGCAAGAACCGCCGTTCCCCAGGCCAGCAACCCTGCAGTGTCGCGCTGCCTCTTTACCGTGTCCACTGCTCGTGTTCCACGGGCCAGGGAAGCCAACGCCGGTGTGTGGTTGCTGCTGCCCTTTCGTCAAGCTAGCTGTGAACAGCGGCATGGAGCTGAGCGCAGAGTTCAAGGCGCTATCTAAACTGTCCGAAAGCCTCTGTTCGTGAGAAAGCAGATCTGCGGAGAGATTTGCAAAATCAAAATCATCATCATCTGGAAATAGTCACTCTGGGTTTACAAAGGGAGCAGGCAGCAAAACAACGGGCAATTCAGTCTTTCATGCTGTGCTGCAAGAAAAAATTTAAAATTAAAAAAAGCAAGTTTAAAAAATAAAATGGAAAGATCCCAGTGCTCTTCTTCCTACCAGCAGCTAGGATCCAGTGTTCTCTGTCTGCTAGCGCAGGGGGTCGATAAAAAGAGTTGCGCAGCAGAGGAGTCAAGGCAGAGACTCTCATCTGAATCCCCTCCTCTCCACCCTTCCACACACACGTTCAATTAATGTTTTAAATCCTAATTAAACATGTGGTCAACCAGCACCCAATCCCCCCTTTTGACACCCTGGATCACTCTGGGTGGAGCTGTCCCAGGTCAATACAGCTGCCTTGACCCACTCAAGGAAAATCACACATCGAGCTGACCTATGTCCGGAGGTTGTGCACAGCCTAGCGATAAAGGGGGAAATGGGATGGACTCCTTTTCTTCATAAGCAATCACTTGTAAACAAGAAGCCGTGGAGGGAAGAGGGGAAAGTAAATACTGTATTTTTCGCTCTATAACACGCACCTGACCATAACACGCACATCGTTTTTAGAGGAGGAAAACAAGGGAAAAAACATTCTGAATGAAACAGTGGATGTATCATTTTTGTGCTTCATGCTGTGGCCACAGACATGTGATCTGATGGTGAATTTGGGGTGACCCAATGCAAAAATCCCGAGGATCCATGTGGATCCATGCTTTGTAACCACGTTTTTGCACCATTGCAGCCCCAGGCAACGGTGGGTGTGTGATTTTGGGGGGGCAGGCTGTAGCCATGGACATGCTATGTGCTCTGATGGTGAATTTGGGCTGACCCAATGCAAAGATCCTGAGGATCCATGTGGATCCATGTTTTGTAACCACGTTTTTGCACCATTGGAGTCCCAGGCAACAGTGGGTGCATGATTTTTGGGGGGCAGGCTGTAGCCATGGACATGCTATGTGCTCTGATGGTAAATTTGGGGTGACCCAATGCAAAGATCCTGAGGATCCATGTGGATCCATGCTTTTTAACCACATTTTTGCACCATTGCAGCCCCAGACAACAGTGGGTGCGTGATTTTGGGGGGGCAGGCTGTAGCCATGGACATGCTATGTGATCTGATGGAGAATTTGGGGTGACCCAATGCAAAGATCCTGAGGATCCATGCTTTTTAACCACATTTTTGCACCATTGCAGCCCCAGGCAACAGTGGGTGTGTGATTTTGGGGGGGCAGGCTGTAGCCATGGACATGCTATGTGATCTGATGGTGAATTTGGGGTGACCCAATGCAAAGATCCTGAGGATCCATGCTTTTTAACCACATTTTTGCACCATTGCAGCCCCAGGCAACAGTGGGTGCGTGATTTTTGGGGGGCAGGCTGTAGCCATGGACATGCTATGTGATCTGATGGTGAATTTGGGGTGACCCAATGCAAAGATCCTGAGGATCCATGTAGATCCATGCTTTTTAACCACATTTTTGCACCATTGGAGCCCCAGGCAACAGTGGGTGTGTGATTTTGGGGGGGCAGGCTGTAGCCATGGACATGCTATGTGATCTGATGGTGAATTTGGGGTGACCCAATGCAAAGATCCTGAGGATCCATGTGGATCCATGCTTTTTAACCACATTTTAAGTGGGGAGGGAAGGAAAAACACAGAACGGACAAGGAGCACGAGAGGGGTGTGCAGAGAAGCAGCTGGCTAAGAATGCAGGAGAGGGATATAACGGGAGGGAGGAAAGGAAGGCAAAAGTTTTCCCTCACCTACCCACCCAAGCCAGCCAGCCAGCTCGCGCTCTCTCTCTCTCTCTCCCTCCTGCATGTTTTCCTCTGCTTTCCCCTCTGCTTGCCTGGAGGGGAGGGGCTTTCCCTGCTCTTTGTTCCGTTTGAGCAAACACAGCAAGGAAACAGAGGAGGGTGGGCAGTAAGACCCTGAGGCAGAAGGCAGGAAAGCAGCCGCTTCCTCTTTTCAGCTTTCCCTTCTCCGAGACGCGCGATTTGATTTTTGCCTGCTTTTTTTTTGCCTCCACGCGCGCCATTTGGCTCCAGGGACCACACATTCGCTCAATAACACGCACAGACATTTCCCCTTCCTTTTTAGGAGAAAAAATCTGCGTGTTATAGAGGGAAAAATACGGTAGATCTGGCAGAAAGTAACCGTCACTGACTTGCCACTGCTCAAACGTGGCAACAGACTATGACTGTGGCGTATCACGAAGCTAACAAGCTGCCAAAACAAAAAAAATTCCTTCCAGTAGCACCTTAAAAAAAAAATTTAATTTTTTTTTTTTTGACTATGGCAGACCAACACGGCTACCTATCTGTAACAAGCTGCCGTGAGCTTTCGGTTGACGGACTTCCTCCTCTTCCTTGAGGCCAGAAGTTGAATAAAAAACAATAACTGCAGCTTGCTGTATCATCCAAACCCAACCTTAACTTGACCTTAACTACGGCTAGCTTGAAACAAGCCAACTTCAAACGGAAGTTCAAGATGCTGGCTTGTTTGACCACAACTTCCTGGACAATGTAGCAATTTTTCATTAAGGAAAAGTGAAAGCTTCCGAACACCCCCTTGCAGCTGAGTTGGAGGGTGGCAAGGGGCACAAACCCAAGTCTTGTTGATTTGAAACAGGAAGAAGCCTGAAGACCATGAAGTTGTAATGAGCTTTGTGGCAAAATAAAGTTATTTATGCATGTTTTAAAAAACAAATTCTGAAAATGAAGCTAATCCTTTTTCTTTTTCTTTAAAAGAAGGATACACATTTTGTAACCTCATCTCTGAAACCAATGCATTTTTCCCAGGGGGTACTCAAGTGTGCACAGTACTGGCACCCTTTTTCGTTGTTGTTAAATAGTGCAGAACTGCAACAACTTGATGTACTGGCACCTATTTTTCTAGAAAAAAGGACTGTCTGAAACTGTATTATTTTGGAAAGATGAGGGCACGTCCAGACTGTCGTTCTTTCCGAGTGGGATCCAATCACATGGCAGCAAATTTAGGGCATGCAATTGTACCTAATTAGTGCTCTTGGGCAACAAACCACCCCAAAATTGGACTTTTTGCAGGAAGGAAAGTGACAGGAAAAGGAACTGCAAAGTGTGAGATGACGTTTATTTTGATGCAAGGTCATCTCCCCACCATGCAAACAAATTGGGATCAATGCTCAACGAACACGGTTGTCTGGGAATGTTGTGGGATGGTAAACAGAAAGGCAGGAAGCAATCCACAAGCTGACAGAGACGGCCAAAGCTGGGCAACAGAAAACCTGGGGAGGAATACAGCATTTTTACCTCCTGACCACTATAGGGACAAAAATGCTAAAATATTCGGTGGAGACTGCCCGGTTTTGTTTCTTATATTTGAAACAATGGAGTCTAAAGACTCTTTTAGAGAGGCTCTCAAATACTTTTAAGATCAGAATTCCCTATTGCCCAATGGAGACGTGCAGAATGAACAGGCCTGGAAATATCAAGGCTCAAACAAAACAGAAAAGGAGGCAAACAGTAATGGAGGTCATAAAATTAACCAGCAAAAGAATGCAGCAGAGCCAAGAGGAAGGATGCGTCCAAAACAGAAGACAGCTCCCTGTGAAAATGGCCTGGACATGATGCCACTCTAACCATCTTACAGCTGCAAGCGACAAAGGCGTAGCTTATTCCTGCTGCAGCAGTGCTTAATTTTCCAATGCTGACAATGCTCCCATTTTGTTAATTCATTAGTAATAATCTATGGATGCCAATTGAAGATGCAACATTAGGAAAGCTGGACAGCTTCAAGGTTTTTAACTGTTATCTGCTAAATTAGATCGCTCTCCAGGGCAGTCTTTGCCAACCTGGTTCCCTCCAGATGTTTATTTATAAAAGCATTTCTGTGCTGCCTTATCATAATGGTGTACAACGTTAACAACTTAAAACACCATCTCAAACGATGCAAATAACCATTAAAGTGACTGGTTAATCAGTTTAAACAGCTGCATGGGCCCACTGTCAGAAAAATGTCCTCAAGAGATGTTTGAAACTCAAAAGGCAAGGATGCTGGCTGAACCTCACAGCAATATGAGACCAGCAGAACTGCATGCCTGACTCCCTAGGTGAAGCCAGCCAGGCCTGCCCAACACTGGGGACAACAACACCCCTCTGAATGTTCTTGGTGCTGGCAGGAGCAGATGGGACTTAAAACATCTGGAGAACAGCAGGTTGGCAAAGGCTGCTCTAAGGAGCCAGAAAATTTCCTGATGCAAACTGAAAATTTATCCATGAAAACTGCCCCATGCAAACTATCCAATAATATAGTTTGCATAGAAAAGTCATTTCCCCCCACTCCCACATCTCTGCTCCCCATCCACTCGTCGTTCACAGAGTCACATTATAGAACCAAACAGTCAAATAAAGCTTTTTTTAAAAAAAATAAAAATAAAATAAAAGGAAAAAAGAGGATTTGAAAGAAGCAGCGGCAGCAATCCAGGTTGTTCGCCAACAGGCTCCTTCTGCATATTAAGAGGACAGAGGAGTACCTGTCGAGCAGTCCATCTGGGAAGAGTTGGCATCGCAATCGGTTTTCATTTTTTTAGCACGGGACTCAGAGGTAGACGTGGCAACAAGGTTTGTCGCGGGGAAACGGAAGGGCTCCGTGCTGCTGCGTTGGCCGCCCGGCTTCTGCTCTACGAGGTCCATTTTCCTTTTGAGGGAAGACATGGCTATGGAGGAAGCTACCACCGTCCCCGTGGCCTGAGCCCTCCCCAGGAGGCGAGTGCTGGGAATGCTGTGCTGGAGCAGGAAGTGGTCTATCCTCGCCTTGAGAGAGGGGTGGGGCAGGGGCTGCGAGTGCTGGCTGAAGGCCACCCCCGTGAAGGGGTCACTGGGCACTCTCCCCCAGGACGCCTCGCTCCGGTTGCACTTCTCCAGCGTGCTCTGATCGATCACTTTGCCCGAGGGCAGCAGCATGGGGAGAGTCATTACCTCCAGGGTGATCGGGTCCAGGAACTCCTCGGGAATGTCCGGGATGGCGTCCATCAGCTTCTGCTCCTGGCTGTCCGGGTTGCCAAAGGGCGCCAGGTCGCTCTCCATTGGCGACGGGAGGCCGGCAGCCTGCCCTCCGAAGCCTTGCACGGCCCGCAGCACGTCGTCCACCACCTCGTGGGGGCAGGATTTGGCCGGCTGGCCCCAAACCTCCACTTTCTTGATGCAAGGGAGACCGCCACCAGCCACATGGGTGATGCAGATCTTCAAGTGAGAGACGCAGCTCAGGGAGCTCGGGCCTTTGTTCCACAGGTCCAGAGACGCCGAGCCAGGGAAGGAGAAGAGAGTGTCCATCTGCTGATGGAATGGAAGCCTCGGTCGGAAGCCTCGGTGGCTGAAGGTCACTTTGCTTTGATTCTTCAGCACCGCTTTGCCCACCAGCGTGAAAGCTTCCTTGTCCAACGGGGGCTGAGCACCCAGACCTGAGAAGGGAGAGTCCGAACTGCTCCAAGAGGCTTTGCTGGGTGAGGTAGATGTGAAAATATCCAGCCCAGTGATGTTCTGATAGCCGCCGGAGGAGACGTCTATATTAATCCGGAAGATTTCTACGTTGAAGGGGAAAGAGAGAGTCACGTGGACCGGGGGCTTGATGAAGTATTCGCAGCGGAAGCCTCGGTTTCGTTTGGCAAGGTCTTCTGAGACCAGGTTTTCTACTTCGTATCCGTCAGCGGAGATCTACGGGTAGAGAAGAAGAAGAGATTGGATTTGATATCCTGCTTTATCACTACCCGAAGGAATCTCAAAACGGTCAACATTCTCCTTTCCCTTCCTCCCCCACAAGAAACACTCTGTGAGGTGAGTGGGGCTGAGAGACTTCAGAGAAGTGTGACTAGCCCAAGGTCACCCAGCAGCTGCATGTGGAGGAGTGGAGACGTGAACCCGGTTCACCAGATTACGAGTCTACCGCTCTTAACCACTACACCACACTGGCTCTCAAAGAAAAGGACTGACAATCGTTTCCACAGTCTTTGCATGCCACGCCGGCGTAACAACACAGAAAGAGACTGGAATCCTGTAGCAGCAACAAAAAAGGACTCGCCCTCAATGAAAGCTCACATGGATTTCAACAGGAGAGTTAAAGCACATGCTTAAAATTCTCCGACTGAAATAACAGGGAGTGGAACATTTAACTTTCTTTACCGCATGCCCCTAATCTCTCCAGCTTTTTACTGTGGCTGGTTGGCTCGAGTTACACAGACGCACTTTGCACCCCACCGAAAGAAGAAAACGTTAAAGCGGGGGGCATCTGTTTCAAAAGAACCTCTCATCACCCCGCTACCTTATTCTAAATCTGCAAGTCCCCCTCCTCACACGGTGGGGAGCCCAGCTTAAATATCCCAAGCAGATACACTCGTACAACCTTCTCTTGAAAAGCTGGAGGAGGAAAAGCAAGGAGCTCTCTTGGATCAGATCAAAGGCCTCTCTGCTCCAGCATCCTTCATCCTTCTCCCCACAGTGGCCAATGTCTCCAGGTAGCCCTCAACCTCTGGTGGTGTTCAAAGGAAGACTCTCTCTAAGCCTGAAGGTCCCACCACAGGGGAGTTTTGGTTTTTCCTCCAGTAATAAAACATCTGCCTACAAGAGAGTGCAACTGACCAAGCTGTAAAGTAGCAAGGCCACAGTGACCTGTCTTGCTAGTACTCTAGTTTCTGATCTTCCATTATGATGTCACTTCCCTGGCCAGTGACTTTCAACAGGAGGCGGTCCAGCCAAATTCATGCTTTTTTTAAGCTCCACCAGAAACAAATACAGTATCTGAGCCAGCTATAGTTGGGTCTATTTCTCCTTCAGGCTTTTGCTGAGCTACTGATTTTATTAGGGGTGGGGGAACAGCTGTCTGATCATGATTGTAGGGCCAAGGTGGACCTACCAGTCCAAGCTAAAAGTGGCAAGCTGGAAGAATCTAGTTTTTGTTTGCAGGGTGATGCTGGTGCAGTGACAGGATTACAGACCCCAACCACCTGCTGCTTGATTAGGCGGGTTACACTGCACAGAATGATCTGCTGCAGACGTTGACAACCCCGGGTGTCATCAAGTCACATTTTCTCAGAAAGGATATGCGTGAGCAGCAGGGGCACCAGCAGGAAGCCTCCATGCATAAGCAGTGTCAATTTAGTTCCGCAACCAGCCGCTGAGTCAAAGCACTCCTTGATCTCTAGAATGTTAACTCCTTTGACCCTGAGATGCTGCGCCAAGTCTGCACCCTCTGCTTTCTTAACCTGGAGCAAGGCGGGTTGTTGGGGGGCAGGGAATACCTTGTTGCAGTGAATTCTTGGCTTGAATTGCGGGAGGCAAAGATTTATCACCATCTTTGTGGCTCAAGGTGGAGACCAGCTCCCCAATCTTCAACTTGGCTCTAAAATAAAGCACACAAAAGTTTTTTTTAATAACTAAATAGGTAAAGGTAAAGGTACCCCTGCCCGTACGGGCCAGTCTTGACAGACTCTAGGGTTGTGCGCCCATCTCACTCTAGAGGCCGGGGGCCAGCACTGTCTGCGGGACACTTCCAGGTCACGTGGCCAGCGTGACATCGCTGCTCTGGCGAGCCAGAGCCGCACACGGAAACGCCGTTTACCTTCCCGCCAGTAAGCGGTCCCTATTTATCTACTTGCACCCGGGGGTGCTTTCGAAACTGCTAGGTTGGCAGGCGCTGGGACTGAGCAACGGGAGCGCACCCCGCCGCAGGGATTTGAACCGCCGACCTTTCGATCGGCAAGCCCTAGGCGCTGAGGCTTTTACCCACAGCACCAGCCGCGTCCCTAATAACTAAATAACTAATATCTAAATCAGACCTGAGTGCTCACTGGAAGGACAGATCGTGAAGTTGAGGCTCCAGTACTTTGGCCACCTCATGAGAAGAGAAGACTCCCTGGAAAAGACCCTGATGTTGGGAAAGATGGAGGGCACAAGGAGAAGGGGACGACAGAGGATGAGATGGTTGGATAGTGTTCTCGAAGCTACAAACATGAGCCTGACCAAACTGCGGGAGGCGGTGGAAGACAGGAGTGCCTGGCGTGCTCTGGTCCATGGGGTCACGAAGAGTCGGACACGACTAAACGACTAAACAACAACAACAACATCTAAATAACTGTGGTGAACAAGTGATGTGACAGAAATTGCTGCTTTGATGATAACATTTGTTTTGGTGTTTTGAAGATTGCATTACAGCACAGCAATGTTGTGTTTTAACAAAGTGATGCCCAGGCCTAAATAGGGCTTTCCAGGCCTTGGAAGATTGACTCACCAATCCAAGGTTGCAGTCACCGAAACGGAATGTCTAGTTGCCATTTTGGACGGCTCTAAAGTCCTATTTTTCAAATGATGGACTGGCTGTGATTGATTAAACATCTGGCTAGTTCAGAAGACAACCTTGAGCCAGGTTAAGAACTCTGAGAACTTAAAGAGAAGAAAAGTCATTTGATCCAGGGACAGTCCACGCACACATATATAGGCTTATTTCCGACCTCTTTTTCTTAATGGCTGCTGCTCCTGCTTAGGCTGCACGGAAAGAAATTCATTCTGATTGTGCAGACAAAATATAAGATAGAATTCTCCAGGACGTGGTATTAGTGTGTGAAAACAGTCCAGATCCAGTGATCCCCAGGCATCCACTTCCAGATGACGTTGTCAGGAGCCATCCAGGCACCCAGGCATCTTCATTTGGTCTCAAGTGGTCGAAAGCAAGGTGCAAAATGTGCCTGGTACCCTGCTAATTTTGAACACTGCACACCCCTTACTATCCTGGAGCGTTTGGGCAGGTTGGCATGTGTCTTTGGACTCTGTTAATGCCTCTTGCTTGTCTGGATGAAAGACAGAGGTGTGTGTTTGTGTGTGTATATAAAAACCAGCCAACTGTACCATAATATTTACGTTCATTGCTCCAGCCACGACTGTACGTGCCCCCAAACCCAGAAAGGGAATAAGGCTCTTGGAATAAGGTTCCCCCACCCTGGATGTAGTGCATGAAAAACTGATGTAGCTAGCATCCACCGTACTACAATATGGTTACCAGATTTTTTTCAATGAATCCGGGGACCCTTTTTTTTTTTTTTTGAAGCTGAGTAGCAACAGGGAGTCAGCACTGGAGATGGTGAGGCAAAAGCCCCTGGGCCCAAGCACACATGTATAGTCTATAAAGGTGCCAAGCCCTTCTTTCGCACCCTGTGAAACATAAATGCACAGAGGTTTTTTTTAAAAAAAACTGTGCAATGGCTCTGTCTGGCTTCAGGAGCTGCTCGCTGCCGTGGCACAGGAAAAATGGCGGGCGCCACAGCAGCGAGCAGCTCCTGAAGCCAGACAGAGCCAACTGCGCTAACAGGCTGGCTCCAGGCTGCGGAGGCTGCCGCTGCCACGTTTTCCAGGGACAGATTTGCAAATCTGGGGACATTCCGGGGACAGAATTTGTCCAGTGACAGATGTGCAACTCCACGGACGTCTGGTAACCCTATACTACAGCTCTGCTTCTATCATATCAGCTCAAGCAGGACGGATGAAAAGATGGTCCTTGGATGTGAGAGCAGAACCTGCAGTCACGGCCAGGGTTGATGACCACCATCCCTCTCCTCGGGAAACAGAAGAGCCAGTGTGGCGTAATGGTTGGAGTGTTGGTCTAAGACATGGGAGACCCAGGGTTCAAATCCCCAGTCAGCCCCGAAGATCACTGGGTGACCTTGGGCCAATCACAGCCAGAATTCTACAGGACGTGTTGCTGGTGTGTGGAAACAGTCAAGATCCAAGGTCCCCAGGCATGCACCTGCAGACGTTTGAGACGTCAGGCACCATTCCTGGTGCCCAGGCATCTTCCCTTGGTTGCAAGTCGCCGATAGACAGATGCGAAATGTGCCTGGCTAATTTTGAACACTGCTTTCAGCTTGGTATCCCTTTCAGTTTCGTCAACACCCTCCCTTGTTTAGCTCAGCAATAACTCCCAATATACATTTAAATGAAAAGGTCTTTGAGACGGATATCTAATCCATGATTACGTTGACACTGAGAAGGCTTGGTTAGTTCCCTCCTCAAGCACGAAGCCTGCCTACTGGCAACATCTTCCGATTCCCTTCAACAAGCAGAATCTTATCTGTTTGGGAAGGGGGAATCCAGGACAGCAAAGGTTGAGTGCTGACAGTAAGGTAGCAGGTCTAGTACAGTAGATCTCAAAGGGTGAGGCAGGAGAGGATGGCAAGCACAGTGGGAAGATTCAAGGACAATCAAAGAAACATTTAAACACTTTAGTGTAGTTTGGTTCACTGGCTGTCGTGCAGAAGTTTTAGATTGGGTATTGGAACTGAAGAACAAATTAAGAGTTTTTGGAACAAGAAGGGAACCCTTTGTAGCACCAACTGAATGCCAAGGACTGGTGTGCAAGGCTGGCATACTTGGTCAATATCTTTACCCAGCTGAATGAGCTCAATGCCAGTATGCAAGCCCACAATGAGAATATCCTCGCAGCTACAGACAAAACAAGCTGCATTAAGAAAAAAAAAGCTTCAGCAACATACCCTGAAAATGTTCCCGCAGGTAAAAAGACAATGCATTACATGGCCTCGTACAGGAACATCTTGCAAGAAAAGATTGACCATTACTTCCCATCATCTGCAGAAAATTTAGACGGGGTTAGAGACACCTTTGCAAATTGCAGCTGTTCAGGACTGACATTGAATGAGGAGGAAATGGCCTGCATTTTAAGTGTTTGTACCTTGAAAATGAAACACAGGAGTATGCTACTGGACTCTTTTTGGATATACAGCCAGAAACCATATCCACACCTCTCTTCAAGAGCATGGGCTATTCTTCTGCAGTTCTCCAGGACATATTCTTGTGATCAGGGATATGACAAGTAAAGAAAGATCGGAAAATAAAAAGGCTTCTTTGTGTTGATGAGATGAGTGTTAGTCTCAAATTAGACCTAATGTGAATGAGATTACCTGGCAAAAGCAATTTCACACCCCTCATTGAGTTTGTATACCTGCTTAATGTACATACCTGTATGTAAGAGGCTCATTTATAATTATATTTTGGAAATGATTCACAATCTTATTTAGCTGGATTGTTTTATACTTTCTGGATGTCCCATGATCATATTATAAAGTAGTTGTGTTCTATGTTATGAATCAGGTACTGGTAGTTGTTTCTTTTTTTGTCTTCCAATGTATTTATCATAATTTTAAAAATGGTGTAGCGCAAGGAAATTTTTATTCTGAAGGTGTGGCCCAGAGAAAAAGGTTTTGAGAACCACTGGTCTAGCAGGATGCAAGGGGTGCTACAGTCAGCTTCATGTTGTCATGGAAGGCCAAAACTAGATTTTATTCTAGTTGTGCTGTCATAAAATCCCACCCCTCACTTAGCCAATGGGAGCATCTCCCCTGGCCCCAAAGTGGTGGAATTTTCGTGGGGATCTCATCTGGGAAGGGAATGGTTAGAGCGACCTTGGCCTCCCTGGGCACTGCACTCCCGGTGAACAATGCTCCTTCACTCACACCATTATTAAAAAGAAATAAAACCTGTGCGTATTGAAGAGCTGACCAAAGACCCAGCTAGTCCAGCTGTTCTCACAGCAGCCAGCCAGATGCCTGCAGGAAGCCAGCAGGCAGGTTCCTAGCCACACAGTTAAGAATGATGTCTACTTTGACACCGAGTGCTGCAGCAAGGAGCGTCTCCTAAAGGTTTTCCAAGGAAGGTATCCCAGAAATCTAACAAGTTGAGGTCATGCAAAGGAGGGCAACCAAAATGGTCAAAGGCCTGGAAACGATGCCTTATGAGGAACGGCTAAGGGAGCTGGGCATGTTTAGCCTGGAGAAGAGGAGGTTAAGGGGTGATATGACAGCCATGTTCAAATATATAAAAGGATGTCATACAGAGGAGGGAGAAAGGTTGTTTTCTGCTGCTCCAGAGAAGCGGACACGGAGCAGTGGATCCAAACTACAAGAAAGAAGATTCCACCTAAACATTAGGAAGAACTTCCTGACAGTAAGAGCTGTTCGACAGTGGAATTTGCTGCCAAGGAGTGTGGTGGAGTCTCCTTCTTTGGAGGTCTTTAAGCAGAGGCTTGACAACCATATGTCAGGAGTGCTCTGATGGTGTTTCCTGCTTCGCAGGGGGTTGGACTCGATGGCCCTTGTGGTCTATTCCAACTCTATGATTCTATGCAGCAGGTGTTGCTTGTACCGTCCTATTGCGGGAGCGATGATGGCTGAGGAAAGGTCCCTAAGGTGGGAGTGCAGAAGCAGGTATAGAGATGGAAAGGCATTCATTCCACATCTCATCCCACAGATGAGATGCTTTGAGGGGAACAGGGTGGTGCAACAAGCCTTTCCTCTCCATTATGAGGCTCCCCAAAAGGACCCTTGCTGTCCCAAA